AGGAACTTTGGGGAGACGCGGGCTGCTGGGAAGCCAGGGAGGGGCCCACAGTGACACGTGTGACAAGGCCCCAGTCTGGGCTTTACCCCCTCACCGCCTCTATGAAAGCCTAGAGGGACCTTGAGGTCATTGCTGTCTTATCTGTGCCTGAGGGTGGACACAGGACAGAACTGTGGCCAGAGAGCAGGGCAGGACCCCAGCAGTCCTCGCTCTGTCCCTGCTCCATGCTGCCAGTCCTGACATCATGGCTGCTCACGAAGCCTAGAGTTTTCTGTGTTTCCCCGTCCTGGATAATGCCAGCCTCATCCTTCCAGCGCTCAGGCCCAAAGCCTGCTGTCTCCTCTTGCTCTCGCACTCCACACTGAGTGCCGGGAAGGTCCTGCTGTCCCTGCCTGCAGAGCGCAGCCCGAATCTGACACCCTCTGTCACTTCCATGCACAGCTCCAAGGCCAGCCCCTCCTATAGTAGCTTCCTCGCTCCTCTCCCTTTGCTCCCCCTCCGTCTCGCTTTTTTTTTTAAATAAACTCTTTTAAAGAACAATTTTAGGTTCACATCAAAATTGAGCAGAAAGTACAGGGAGTTCCCATAGGCCCTTTGCCCTCTATCTCTTTTCAGCACAGCAATTCTGTTATAAAAGTGCCAGGTTAAAATCTTCCCATCAAAACATCAGAATGGCTCTCCTTTCTCTCAGAATAAAGCCAAAGTCCTTCCCAAGTCCCGCTGAGCTCTGCTTCCTCCCGCTCGCCTCCCCTCACCCCCACTCCCCCGCAGCCCTCCCGGCCGGCTGTGTTGCTTCTCCAACACCCAGGCATACTCCCACCTCAGGGCCGGCCCTTGAACTTGCTCTTCCCTCTGCCTGGAAATCCCTTCCTGCCGGCAGATGTCCTCATGGCTCATCCCTCCTTTCCCTCAGGAATTCATTCAGATGTCACCTTTCGAGAGGCCTTCCCTGCCCTGCTTTCGTTTCTCCAACGCACTTACCACCAGCTGGTGAGCTGGGGGTCTGACTGACTTATTGTCTTCTCACCGAGGTTCTGAGCTCCACAGCAGGGCTAGCTCTCGCTCACTGCTGTTCCCCAGCCCTTACGTGTGTTGGGCCCGTGTGAATGAGTGTTTAGAAGTGAAAGGGTGAACGGATGGCCTGCGGGCCCCGCTGCAGCCTGAGGGGGACCGCACACACGTGGTCTGACATGCCTGGCAGGAGCCTCCCTTCCTGCTGTTTTCCTCAGTGGTTCCTAGAGAAGAGTGTTGGAGGGATGGAAGTGCTCCACAGACCTGACGGATGACCTTTTCTGTCATAGGACAAGTTCATCCCCATCCTCGGTCCCCATAGACCTCAGTCGCCACAGACAGGCGGGGTTTTCCCACCGCCTCCCTCCCGTGAATGAGGTTGACTGCTGGCTCAGAGGGCCGCTCGCCACCCCTGCTTGCTGGTGGGAGGGGCGGGTGTCGCTTGGCCGAAGACGTGTGTCGTTTGGCCAGCAGCTAGTCACAGCTTGGGGAACCTTGTTTCGCAGGCCCCGGCCCAGTTTACTCAGCACTCTGCGTGTGCCAGGCCCTTAGGATGTATTCCCTCATCTGGTCATCACAGCAGCCTGGTGATGGAGCAAATGGGGCCTCGGAGAGGTTGAGTGACAGCAGGGCTCCCAGCTGGCCAGGGCAGGCTTAGGAGAGGACTCGGATCAGTTCAGTAGCTTACGTGAGGTGACCAGTACTGAGTCCACATTGAGCAGACATGATAATAATAACCTGTAAAATATGGATGCAAAGTAATACTGACCTAGCACAGACTACATGGCACACGTGACTGAATCCTCACAACAGCCCCATGAGGTGGGCACCATCATCATCCCTATTTCATCTCATGAGAAAACTGAGGCCCAAAGAGAGACATGCAAGGTGGACTTGCTGATCTCCAGGAATCCTCCCAGCAACTCGTTTCAGCTCAGTGTTTTCTGCTCTTTGTGCATTATCTCCAGGGTCATCTTCCTCAAGCCCACGGGGGTGAACGATGCTCCCACAGGCCCAGCAAGGGCCTGTCCCCCATGATGGGCACTGTCCGGCCTTACCTGGGGGCTGGGCCCAGGGCAGGTCTGGCTGTGTAGAACCCACACAGGGGACAGAATGAAGAGATGCAGACTGGGGGATGCCACATGACTCTGACTGCAACTCTTGGAGGGTTGTCCCAGAAGAAGGGGGGCCAGTGTGACCTTTGCGGCACTGGTGGGATGGGAGGATGGGAGGATGGGAGGAGAGGAGCCAAATTAAGGCTGGTTTTTGGCACAAAATGAGGAATAACTTTCTTTCCTGAGAACTGTCCAGGGGACTGAGCCCAATGGGGTTTCCTTTGGGGATAAGGCTGAGCTCAGAGGCTTCTGCAAACTTAACCAGCCCCATGGAAGTGCTGCCTGGCTTTAACAGCACCTTCGTGCCCTGTCTTAGGAAGTCCTCATCCTGAGAGCCATGTGTGCTCATTGCTTGGAGCTCTTCCTTCTGCCAGTTGTAAAGCCCCAAAGAGAACAGTCAGTCAACTCTTACCTCACTATGCCGCCCCCCCACCCCCCAACCCCGCTCCTGGAATTCCTCAGGCCAAGCTCCCGTAACTGTGCACTCTCTCTCCACAGCCCAGTTTAATGGCAACGAGAAACGACAGTCATCCCCCTCGCCTTCCCGGGACCGACGGCGCCAGCTTCGAGCTCCCGGAGGGGGCTTCAAGCCCATCAAGCATGGGAGCCCCGAGTTCTGTGGGATCCTGGGAGAAAGAGTGGATCCTGCTGTCCCCCTGGAGAAGCAAATGTAAGTGCTCAGAGGCAAAGCCCAACCTCAGCTCCCAGCTCATAGTCGCTGCTCTTCCCTTTCTTTATCTTGTTTTAAAAACTCGCAGACTGAGAAAATGTTAGTGCTCCAGGGGTCTTTCCGTCCACATCCCTGCCCTGCCTCCACGTACAGATGGGCATGTTGAGGCTCACGGAAGGTCAAGGTCACCATAAGGTCAGTGGCAGGTGCTTTCTCCGTCCACACGGTATCACCTCCCTTACTTCTGAGGACTAGTAAGAGGGACACAGTTCACTCCGCCCTCCTACATCACATGAGTTTTTGAATGGCTAAGTGTATACCAAATCCCGCCCCTACTTGTAAATTAGATGTATTTTCTAGCTTGTGATGTTGTTGCCCCACATCTGCCTGGTATTTGTGCAAGGCTTTGGCACTCTTGGTTTGGGTTTTCACAGCCCCGTTGCCTCCTCACTTCCCCTAACACTGCTGGCAAGGCCTGTTTCTGGTTTCTGTCCTCCCCTTGACCATGATGATCGTCTCCCTTCTCTGCCAGGGTTTCAGTGTGAACAGGCCCCTGATCTGCTCTGAGACCTTCAGTGGCTTCCCATCACCTGCATCAAGTCCCACCTCCCAATCCTGCCCCTCATGCTGAATTGCCCCAGACCGTTCTCCTTTTCTCAGCATTCCACATACCTGAACTAGAGTGAGGTTCTCCGGGAACATGACAAAGCAGGCCCTGGATCTTGTGCTGGTACCATCAGGTATATCACCCTCTTAACAAGCAACTGTGAGATAACTGGGTTATCATCCCCATTGCACAGGTGAGAACACTGGAACTCCAAGCGGGGCAGAGCCTTTGTAGGCTCCCAGGGTTCCAGTGCAGAGGTAGGATTTGAACTCCAGCGCTGTGACTCTCCCCTCACTCCCTCTCCTCATGCACACTCTTGCCCCCACCCTTAGCACACGCCTGGCACAGAGCAGGCACTCAGTCCAGTCCGCCAAGAGATTAGCTGACACCAAGCTGGTTCCTTATAAGATCACGAACTGTATCAGCCTCCGCCCAGGGAATTCTGGTCTCAGCACAGCCGACAGTGTATCCCTCACAGGAAATGCTGGCCCGGTGAGCAGGATGCAGGGTTTTCCGATGATGTCATGTGCTCGTGTGCCTTTTTTAAGCGTGTGCGATCCTCGGGAGGCTGCAGCCTCTGAGCCTGCTGTACTGAGCACATGGGTGCGGGGAGCGTTGTGTTCACTGTTTCTCATAGACATGCAGATTGGGCAGCAGGTTTTGCTTATGTCTGATCAAACTGTTTACTTTTTAATCAACAAACACAATATGATCCAGAGATGCCAGGAGCTGTTCAATGTGCATCCTCACCCAGGTCTGTATGGGGTCAGCAGCCCAGCTACCCTCCCCCCCACACCCCCCTTGCAGAGCTTTCGACAGGTTGGGGCCCCCAAAGACAGTTCTGCCCTCTTTCCTTTCCCGTTCCCGCCTGACAAGGCCCTTGGCCAAGTTCAGAGTCAAGGCTGGCTCTCCCTCCCCCATCATCTCTTCTTCCCAGGATTATTCTGGCCTGGGAAGGCCCTGACTCATCACCAAGAGGTGTGCTCAGGTAAAGTCCCATCTCCAGCACAGCCCAGTGACCCAGACAGAGAGGATCGCCTAATCCCTCACCTGACTGATGATGCCTCAGTGTTTAGAAGGCACAGGGGAGAGGGGAGGTGGAGGCTGACACACTGGAGGGGGGCTGTCCTCAGGGCTGTTGAGGGGCAGTCACACATCTGCTTTCCTTCCTGGGACGGTGGAAGAGTTGCTCAGCTTCTCAGGGGACACCCCTCTCCCGCACCTCCTGGAGGCAACCCACAGCCCCCTCTGTCCTGCATCATTATTACCATCAGCACATAAACATGTTCTAGTCGTGAACTTCTCTTTAAAACAAACGTCTTAAAAGTAAATAAATAAAATCTTGATCCTCTCTAGCTCCTGGCCGTGTTGGGAACATACGTTCCGTGAAGGCTGGAACTTGTTTGGGTCACCACTGTTTCCTCCCAATGTGCGGAAGGGTGCCTGGCACATCATGAGTGCTCATAAATACTGTCTGCTGAATGGACAGAGTCCCCACGGAGCTGCCAGCACTTTCTCTCTCCCTTTCGTCACCTCCCCTTCTCTCTCACCCACCACAGTCTGCTCCCCTTTCCGGCCCAGTCACCAGGTGACAGCCTCTGTCCTCCAGGGCAGCCAGCAGAGTAGCCGGCTCCCGCCTTCGCAGACACTCTGCTCCGGGTTTTTCTCCTGCCTCCCTGGCTGCTGGCTCCTCACCTCAGCCTGACCTGAAGGATGGACTGTCCCGGGCTCAGGATCTGGTGGTGATTCACCAGCGCACATCCCAGCCCACACTTCTCCCAGAACACACGACTCCCACATCCAGCTGCCTTCTTGGCATCTCCACTTGGCTGACGAATGGGCATCTCAAATTTAACGTGTTTGGATCTGGGCTCCTCATCATCTCCTAGACATGCTTCCCCCAGCTTCCCCACCTCCATAAATAGCACCACATGTAACATGTGGCTGGTTGCTCAAGCCACAAACCTGGAGTCATCTTCAGCCCTCTTTTTGCCTGGCATCAGCATCTAATGCATCAGTAAGTTCTGCAAATTATCCATCCAAAATACAGCCCCAATCTGTTCCGTCCTCCCATCTCCATGGCCACCTCCCTTCGACCACAGCAGAAGCCTCCTGACTAGTGTCCTGCTTCACTTCCCCTCTGGTCCCTCTTCAGGTAGCCTGGTTGATCTCGTAAGATCATCCAGAGCAAGTAACAATCTCAGATTGACCCTCTGAATGCCATAAGCATCTATAGGTGCAATTAAATTCAAAATGTCATTGCGCGTGAGGATGGTTCCCGTTTTGGACGCGTGGTAGTTAACTGGTTAAAACTCTCATTGCCCTCCACTACATTTAGAAGGAACTCGGACTAATTTTCTTGGCCCACAAGGCCTCTCTACCCTCATCCAGTGCCACTCCCAGGCTCACAGGGCCAGACCATCCTTGCTGCTCCGTGAGCATCCCAAGCTCATTCCCTACTTTGGGACCTTGGCCCTTGCTAGCTCCTCTACAGAAAGCATGTTTTCTTTGGCCCTTTACATGATTGGCTCCTTTTCCCAATGGAGAGTCTCAGGTCAAATGTCATCTTCTGGGAAGCCTCCTTCACTCTAAAGTACACCCCAGCCCCCACACCCCCAGTATTCCTACATAGCTCTTGTCACTATCTGAAATCCTTCCTGAATCTATTTGTTGATTCTCCTTCTCCCTGTATCAGCCCCACGAGATCAAGGATGGAGTGAGTGCTGAGTAAATACTGGATGAGCTAATGGATATTGGATGGGCTGGGTGGCGATGGTTGGACCTTAACTCCTGTGGTTCTGACCTGATGGGCCAGTTCTACTGAGTGCAGCACATCCCCAAGATGTCCTCTGCCTGGATTCTCTTTTCAGTCCCGCAGAGCCTGCTCAGGGCCAGTAGTTGGCCCCCAGCCCCCTTCAAGACCACTCAGGCCCATTCTTTCTCCTGGCCAGTGGCTTCCCCCTCAGTGCCCTTCCCTCCCACACTCTGCCTGGATCTCCTTGAGCCTCCACTGAGTCCCCGGCCTTTCTCTCCATTCGGAGCAGCTGGAGCAGCCCAGGAGGGAACCAGCAGCTTATCCTGTTTACTCCCCTGAGAGGCCCGACTGCCGCCACCTCCCTAGAGCCCGCTTGCTCCTGGCTCCGGGCAGGACGGGCAGCAGGCAGCACTGCCCTGGAGGCCACTTCCAGGCCTTCCCTGAGGACACCTGCTTCAAGTGACTGGAACCTCTTTTCCTAATAAAACAGTTTTGTCAGCTCACTGGGGGTGTGTTACACAGGTGAAATTTTCCAGGAAACAACCTTCCCAACTGTTAACTCTTGTTTCTAAAGTCGGCGCCATCCTTGTCTGTCTCTCCCAACGACAGGCCTTCCTGAAGCACACCAGAGCCTTCATGCCTCTGAAGTGTTTGATCAGTGCAGCCCCAACTTCACGTTCCCCCTCATTTCTGTGCCAGTTCAGAAAGGAAGGCGGCTCTGAGGTCTGCACACTCCCTGCTTTTTCCCTGGGCCAGTCTCCCCTCCGAGTGTCCAGCCCCAGGGCTGACCTGTGAGTGGTCATCTCCTGGGCAGTCAGTGACTCAGTCACACGCTCCTCATACCTGCTCTCCAGTCCTTGCGTTCCTGGAGCTGGTTGGGGCTCCTTTTGTTCATAATTACATCATCAGCACTGCTGGTCCTGTTCAGAGCACTGCCTTGCGAATGGCAGGAAGTGAACGGTGAAAGGCAGTGTTTCTCTAAGAGAATGTCTGTACCCGAACGCTCAGGGCTGCTGGCAGGGCACTCATGGCATGGCCAGGACCAGGAGGCAGCATCCCGCTTACACCTGGGAATTTAAAATGCAGCCTCCTGGGTAGGCAGCAGCCAGAAATATGATCGCTGGGGAAGTTCCCCAGGGCCATCTGCAAGTTCAGCCTCGTTCTGCTGATGCTCATGGCTGCCATTCATAGAAATTCATCCCATCCCAGGCTCTGCATAAGTCCTTTTATGCATCATCCCATTTAATCTTCAGCCCCAAAACAGGGGTGGAGGGATCCTAACTTGATAGAGAACCAACACTCAGCCAGGTTAAGCCGCTTGCCTCAGACCACCTGGCTGGCCAGTGACCAACCAAATGTGCCTCTGCAGCCGGAGCCTGCTCCCGCCTGGTCCAGCAGCTCTGGTTCTCTTCCTGGCCCCGTCTCTCACCACCTTCCAGATGTGTTCTGAGTATGCCCACTAACTGGCGTCTTAGGGTCTTCACTCTTCCACTGAATTTGTACCTTCAGCCTTTCCATTCTCAACTCTTCCCCGTTTGTCCTGCAGTCGGGGGCCTTAGGCCACCAGCCTCTGCACCCCTCCTTCTGATTCGGCCACTCAGCCACGTGGTGTCCGGTGATGCTGGATCCCCTCGTGCCCGGTCAATGCCAGATTCATGCGGCTGGAGCAGTGGGGTGGCCACCCTCCTGAGTGACGAGCACTGGTCATTGTCCTGCAGATGTCTCAGAGTCAACATATGTCCCTCCTGTCATCACCCGCTCTGGCTTTGGTGTCACTTGGATGGAGAAAGCCAGAAGCCTCACATTGCACACAGGGCCCCCAGACCCGACCCTGCCTCATGGCCTCCTGGACCTCATCCTGACCCCCACCCCCTCCCTTGCCTCACTCCACGCTGACCTCCTTGCTGTTTCCAAAACCCAGCAGGCACTCCCGCCTTGGCCTCTGCCTTTGCTGCCCATCCCTCTGCCAGAATGCTCTTTTCCAGCTGCTGTCCTTCGGGCTTCCTCCAGCACCTCCTTCAGGCCCACGCTGAAATAAATGTCACTCTCTCTGGAGGCTTCCGTGGCCACTGCCTAAAACAGCCGTCCCTACTGAGAGCTCCAGACCACACAGCCCTGCTCTATCTCCTCCGTAGCACCTGCACTAGATGTCAGCTTCGTGAGGGAGGTGACTGTGGGTTTGTTCACTGTCCTTTCCCCGGGATCTGGCAGGCAGCAGCAGGCACTCGGCAAATGTCTGTGAATGACTGACTGGGCATGAGAGCACAAACGCACCTGCTTTATAACAAGGAGGCCCTGGCCGTGCCAGCTGCCTTCTGAGGGGCTGAGCCTCCTCGAGGAGGAGCAGAATTCAGGGTGTCAGCTGTGGGGTCCTGTCCTAGGGTTCTGACTCTCTCCCTTCTCCCCAGATGGTATCACGGAGCCATCAGCAGAGGAGAGGCCGAGAACCTGCTGCGACTCTGCAAGGAGTGCAGCTACCTCGTCCGGAACAGCCAGACCAGCAAGCACGACTACTCCCTGTCCCTGAAGTGAGTACAGCCTCATCACCCCCAAGCCCTTCTCCGCAGCCTCCAGCGGAGCGCAGCCACTCTCGAGTCTGTGGCAAAAAGACCCTCCGGCGTCCCCCCGGGAAACTTGCCAGCACGAGTTATTTCAAGCCTGGGTTTTTCAATTTGATCTTATCCCCCTGGGATACAGAGGCGTCTTTATGTTCTGCTTCTGCCTCCCCAGAAGAGGAAGGGCCTCGTCCTAGGATTTATATTGAATAACCAGGAATCGCGTTCACATCTGCCTGAGCCAGGGACTGTGTGAAGCTCTTAGCATACCTGCTCTCTCAAACCTCACAACAACCCTCTGATAAAAAAAACAGCTTGTCCCCATTTTGCAGGTGAGGAAACTGAGGCACAGAGAGGGGACGTGGCTGGCCTAAATTGTAGGGTCAGGACTCAAGGTCAGCTTATGTTCTAGGTTGCTGTTTGGACAAGTCTGATTTTTGGTATTTTACAAAGGTTGTGAGGAACACTGGGAAGAGCTGGGAAGAATCCTGTTGGTGGTGGCACTTGTGGCTGCTTTGTAAACTATCAGGTCTTTCTGACCCACGAGGCATTGCTGTCAGGTTAGGCTGCCCCCACATAAGAAAAGAGTGTTTTGGTTGAGAGTTTCATCAGTCAACCAAAGATGGGACCCAACAGATTGTCTAAAACCCATTTTACTGATAGGAAAACAGAGGCCGAGAGAGGGGAGGTATTCCCCAAGGACACATAGAGAGTTGGTGACAGAATTAGGGTATGAAAACCCAGGCCCTCCGGGCAGGACAGCACAGCACCAGGAGCAGTGAAGTCCTCTCTGCTCCAGTTGCCGGTTTTAAGCCGCATAGTGGAGAGAGCTGCTGGGATGCAAGTCAGGAGCCCGTGTGCGGCCGGCCATGTAGACAGTACGATCAGTGCAGCCAAGCAAGGAGAGACTGGTCTGCGCTCTCTGCTCAGGCCAACCCCACCCAGTCCTCTGGGCTCTGCCCTGAGAGGGACAGTGACACCTTGCAGAGCCGCTTGGCAGGAAACGGGCACTCCTGGACGTCCCTGGAGGAGGGAAGGTGTGTGGAGACCTGGTGGGAGCCACCAGTCTTTCAAGAACCATCAGGGCAGAAGGAGCAGACGTGGTCGGGGTTCCCAGATGGGGGGTTATGGACAGCAGATTCCAGCTCAGTGAGAAGAAACGTTTTCTAAGAGTCGGAGCTGATGAGGAATTAGAGCGGCTTAGAACTGACTCCGTAGGTAGTGAGCGTCTCGTCATGGGGGTGTGCACCAGGGCTGGCCGACCACCTTGCCAGGGAGTGGAGGGGATTTCTAACCAGCTGGGAAGGTACTCAGGACAAACGGCGCCTGTGCACTTTATTGTCCACCCTCAGACCCGGCAGCTTAAAGAAGCAGGTCAGTGACGCAGCTGAGGAAAATTCGATAAGCTACACAGCAACGGGGCTGGGAGGCTGGGCTGGAGGCAGCCAGAGACAGAGAGAGGGCGGTCAGCGGAGTAGCAGGGGACTGGTACACACCACTGGCCATGCTGACAAGGCCAGGCGTCCTCAACTTCTCACCACTCCATGCAGCCCCCCTCCCTCCCTTGCTGTTGTGGTAACCTAGCAACCCAGATGCCCATGCGTGAGGTTCCCAGATCTCCATGGTCCTGTCTCCAGGTGAATTGTGCTCTTCTGGGGTAGGAAGCCAGTAGCCTCAGAGGTGGGACTTCCTGGTCACCACCCTTCCTGCCAACCCAGGCAGCCTGCCCACCCCCTGAGCTTCCTCAGCACAGCAGCCATCACACTGGCAGCTCTGAGTTCCTCCAGGAATCTCATTCCTCCTCGTATCCCATTGTCTGGGGCCTGGTCAGAGGGGACTTCTCAAGAGGACTGATTGAATGTACCAGAGAGGAGGGGATGGCGTGCCCCATGCCAGGCCCAGCTATTCCTCCATGAAAGCCAAATAGTAGGACCACTCTCGAGGAATGGACAGCACCTTGATCTGTCCTCACAGTAACAAGCTTGTAGTCCAGGGGCTAGGCTGGGTGCAAGGAGAAAGCAGGGGACAGGCTGTCCCACTCCCTGGTCTTGTGGGCTTGGCAATCACGTCACTTTTCTGAGCCTCAGCATCCTCATCCGTGCCTAGGGTGGAGGGGGTAGCATGTTCTCACAGACAGAAAGATCTATAGCCCAACCAGCGCCATGTAAACATTACTTACATTATTCCCACCTGCCCTGCTTTCCCAGGTCAGCCCTGTATCTTCTTTGAAGGCCATTCTTAAGAGCTACAGAAGGGACCCATTGTCCAACATCCTGGACAGGAGTCCTGTCCTGCCACTTACTGCTCACCATGTGACCTTGGCGAGTTCCTTCTCTCTGGGGCTCAGCATCCTCATCTGCCCAGAGCAGGACAGACTGATGGTTGCTGAGGACGCCTTCACCTCTGATGTTAAGGTGTCTCTTGACTCCCCAGATCTCCTCTGTGTGTGGGCTCAGCCACTCTTTGTCCTTGGAGTGTTCTAGCTGCACCTCCCCGGCTAGAACACTCTGCTTGCTGTCAAACCCACAAACACTGGAGGAGGAGGAGGGTTTAGTTTTGCATGTTTGTCTAAAGCCATTAGATCCCAAAGGCCAGAGAAGGGTCAGCTTAGTCAGTTTCCCTTGAGGGAGTCCAAAATTGGGGAGGTGAGCTAGGCCATCCCATGGCTGGGCAGGGCAGCTGGCTAAGGGAAAGTGGGCGTGCTTCCCAAAGTAGCCCCATTCCTGATGACCAGTGTGTTTGCCAACCATCAAGTGACACCTGGTATTAATCAACCAGACCATCAGTGGAACTGGGACTGAACATCCTGGCTGCCTGGGGCAAGTGCCAGCTTTGCCAGGCCCCCCATGAGGTGTGAGGGCTCTCAGGTTCCCGAGGCCTGGCTGGCAGGGGCAGGGTGGGAGTGGCATTCCATGCACGGTGTTGTCAGGAGTGTGGTGCAAATTGACATTGGAATCCCAGCTATGTTTTCTTATAAACCTTAGTTCCTGACGTGAGAGTGTTGTAGGGTGAGGAGGACTTGGGGGAGTCTGGCCTCAGGACAGAGCCCTCCACCCTTTCCGTCCTTCTCTCAGCAGATGGTTATGAGAACCTTCTGTACCAGGCACTGGGCAAGGCCACAGAGTGAGCGCCCAGGTGAGGACAGCCTGGCCAGGCTGCAGCGCTCACCGTGCGGCCCATTCATCCCCGGCCATGTTGCACACACATCTGCACGGAGGGCCTTGCAGGGATGGGGATAGCAGTCCCTGCCACAGAGGGTCAGGAGAAGCTACAGGGGGGAGGTGCGTTCACACCTTAAAGAGAGGGTAGGTATTCCCCAGGCTGGTGGGACCCCAGGTGAGGGGACAGCCAGGCAAAGCCCAGGAGGTGCAGAAGAGTCTTGCAAGGACCCGTGCCTCTCAGAGAAGCTGAGACCCAGTTCTTAGCGACGGGGCCACTGAAGTGCAGGCACTGGTCCTGAGCTTAAACCCCACTTCCACCTGACACCCTACCTCCCTGCACCTTATATTCCTGTGGTTTTGCTCTGGATGGTCCCACAGGGTGGCTAGGGCAAAGTTCACATCCTCTGCCTCATCGTAGGTAGAGGCAGCCGAATGACCTTGCCAAGGCTGGAGTGGAGGCAGCGGACTGCCACCCCCTCCTAAGCATTCCTGATACCAGGTTAGAAGGTCATCAGATGTCAAACCTAGAAGTGACCTGAGACACCCACCTAGTCCAGTCCCTTTGCTCCTGGGAGGGGAGACTGAGACCCATAGTGGACTCACGATTGACCTACGGCTCCCCAGCTGGCAGTTGACACACTGACAATTAGAGATGGTGACTGCTTCTCACTGTGGGGACTAGACAGAGACCTGTGCAGGCCCAAGCTGCCCTCCACCTACCCCTCCACCAAAAACTCCTGCATCTGTAACAATACAAGATGGCACCTGAAACGCCCACCCATCGCCTCTCAGGTCTCTCAATGGCAGACACCCCCAACTCTGAAGCAATCTTACCAAGATCCTACCTCGTGGTTTTTTAGCATTGCACTATCCCCTCCCCCTGAAGAACTCTCCCTCTTCCCCATCTGCAGCCTGGCCTGGCTGAGCTCAGACCCTTAGGCTCCCGCTCAGGCACCAGCAGCCACTTTGGCCCTGGCATTAACCACTGACCCCCTGTGTACACTCACTGCAGCCTCTGGAAGCAAAGGATTGGGCCTTTAGATATTGGCACACAAACATCACACTCTACGCAGCTTCCTGCCTGGGAAGGCAGGCAGTAGGGGAAAGAGATGAAAAGTCTTGAAAAATCTCATTAAAAGAGTTCTTCAGGCATTTTGGACTATGAATGGCTTTTTGCAACTTCTAGTTCCATGAGTTTTTGCAAAGGAATCTGGAGAAGATGAGGGAAACAGAACTTCAAAGCTGGAGGGCTTGCAGCTGGGGGGCCGGGAGCAGGGTGAGTGCCAGGGCCTCCCTCCCTGTGTGCAGGCGGCCTCTGCCTGCATGGGGCCCGGGCCTGGGAGACAGAGCCACACTTCTTAGGCCTCCTTGCCCGGTCGCACCTCTCTTTAGGCAGTGAGAGACCCACCCCCAGCTGGGGAAATGACCCCTCGGAGCCCTCAACAAAGGGCCATCAGCTTTCAAGTCCCCAAGACTGAGTGCACAGCATCCTTGCGATTGTGGTCCAGTGCTAACCTCAGGAGAGGCTTCTGGGGTCTGGCCTGTTTCCATGAGGGTGCAACTCGGGTTTGACCATTCAGGAACCTTCCTCCACACTCCCCCTCCCCCTCCCCCAGCTCTGCCCCATTCAGTGTCACTTACCTCCTGGGCTCCAGCCCTACAGGAGCTCATAGCCAGAGGGGAGGATATTTACACCTGTAACTCACAGACAGACTTACAGAGGTTTGACTTAAGGCTTTCTGATTTTACGATCCTGTGAAAGTGACACACATTCAGGAGAAACCGTACTTCAGATTGTGAGTTTTGATCTTT